TTCTACAGTGCATTACCATTGTAATTACCATTGTAATTAGCTGACTTTATGAATGAAAATAAGACTTATGGCTATGGCAGAACCTGTTCCAATACAATACGATGTTAAGTTCTTAACTACAAAGCTTACTGCATGGCTATTTATTCTTTCAGTTGGGGTCCCTGTTCTTCTAGGTCCTGCCCACCTCACTGATAAATCCAAGTTAATGAGAGCTAAGTAGACATACCAACCAGGGTTAGCACTGTCTGAAATACAGAAATCTGAAATGCATTATTTTCACCAGAAAAAGAAATCTCATTCAAGTATATTTTTCATGAGGTGTAACTAGCTCTCTATAATAATGCTTTAATTAAACTCTTACTCCAAAATTCAAATTTTCTTTTACCTTTTCTGCTCATACCCTTGCCTACAAAAGTGATCTGGATTAAATGTTTATAAAAGTATTTGAGATTAAATTAATCTGCTAAACCATCTCTATGTCTGCCACACTTTCAGAAATGTTTTTTTTCTCCCTTCTCATTGATGTCTTTGGGCATTGGAGCTGTAGCACTACTCTACCCTACTCAAACCAGTGTCAGGAACTGCTTGCATAGCCATGGTTTCAACCATACGTAGTCGTTGTTTCTAGTCATTCGGATTAGATTTCTAAATATTAAAGATGCAGCAGAAAGATTATGGAATATCTTTATGTGAAGATACCATGTCAGCCTTTATAATGGAATATTGGTCACTTCTGATGTTGGAGGTGTGCCTGACCAATCATATTTCTTTTTATAATCCATTATGTGGGTGCACATCACATATAGATGCACACAACAGGGCAGTTGTACTGGGTATTGCTATCACAGAAGTAGCACAGGAATAGGGAAAAGCTATAGCTCTAAGCTGGCCAGACCATGCCCTGCATTTTGACTTCTGCCATTTTCCTGATTCCTTTTTTTCCCAGATGAAAACAAAACTGGATAAAGCAACAAGTTCACTCAAAAACAGATGCTTTCTTTAGAAACTTAAGTCACAAAGGGTCAAGCATCACTTGCCCTTCTGAATGTCAGAAGGGCATACAAATGGTCACAAGGCCTTAGTTGTACAAACCTGGTCACTCTCTGGGGCAGGCTGCCCTCCCTATCACAACACCTAGTCAGTGCAGGCTACAGCTCCTGATTAACCTTTCTCAGCTGACTGGAGCTAACTAGGGGAAGGCATTTAACAGAATGATTTTGAGAGGACTGCTGCCTGCAGAGAGCTTCTGAGCTCTCAGTGACAATAGCACTGCCACAGCTGAAAGCAGAGGACAGAGAAATTAAAAAAACCAAACGAATCATAGGATGGAAGGGTTTCTAGAAGAAAATGGAATGTCCTGTAGCTCGCTTTTAGAAAACAAGAGCTCTTTGCATTACTGTATCAAGGTCTGCTGCCTAACTTTCCTTGCCTAAAGCAAAAGCAGAGGAAAGTATATCAGACGCCTAACAGGCACCTCCTGTAGACAGAAAGAAACACACCCTTGGAGCATTTTCTTTCAGGTGTTCGTTTAAACTTTCCTGCAATCTTGTTTTCATGTAAAGTTTTTAAATGAAAGCCCTTTTAACTCACACTACAAATCACATAAATTAAATGTTCTGCGCTGCTGCAAGGGTTAACTAACATTAAAAAGAGCACAGCACCTGATCCAAATGGCCTTTTGTTTATACGCCTACCTGAAATTCAAAGTCAAATTGTGCAAGTACCAAACCCTGCCTAGGCATTCAGTGGGAGTTGCATCAAAAAGACAACTTCAAACAAGTTGTCCACTTATCAAGGGAGGTAGGAATGGGCTCTTAACCAAAACTGCACGTCCAAATATTCATGGAATTTGTAGAAGACTCTGCATTATTCTACATTCTGGTGTCTATTTCTGCCTTCATTACAAAATGATACAAAATACCCAGAAACTTAAAGCAATGATTTAAAATCCTGGTTTTGCAACCCACTTTTCTCTATGGAAAACTAAAAGCAAAGCTAGAAGGAGCACCAAGCCAACATATTATTTCAATGACAACATGTAGCTATCTTGCTGGCTATAAGCATCCAGGAGTTACATTTCTCCAAATGAAGACTTCATTTGGCAAAACAAATCAAATCCAGATCACTGGATCTGCCCCTGCAGCATCATTCTGAGGACAGATTTACTGAGATTAAGGTCCTTTTTCAACATATCTTAGTGGGAAGATTCTATGTGATAAAGAAAGTCTTTTCTTATACATATCTATGGCATTTGATTCAGCTCCAAGAGGGCTGTTTTCATCCACAGTCTGTCTTTGAAGCTGCTACATTCACAAAATAGATGAAATTAACCAAAATAAATACTTCTTTAATTGACTTGTTACAAGCAAGAGGAACATGAACACACCTCTCTTCCTGGGATGTTTTGTGAACTATTTCCTCAAACCCGGAGGCAGGAACATAACACCCTTAGCAGCAATTAAGTTCAAACATTCGTGAATCTGGGCTCTAAATCAAAGCTTAGCAAGAGCACTCTGCCCAAAGTATTCATTAAAGACTATGTGCCAAACTAATGCTGCTCTCCAAAAACATCCTCATAAATTTCCCTATTGTAATTTTGAGTGAATATAAGTTAAGCTTTCCAACATGAAGTAGTTTCCATATAGTGGAAGTACTTAATCAAGTGAGGTTTCACATGATCTATCTGAAACATGTAACTTCATAGAATTGCTCCCCTTTGCTCTCCAGGACTGTTCTCCAGCTGACTATTGTTCAGTCACTTTGTCTAACAAATCTCACCTGTACACTAAATTTTACTTTTGCCATGAATAGCACAGCTGCAAACATTTGCATGTTATGCTTTGGGTTACTATTTACCCTATGTTACTGCTAAGTGGATACAAATCCTTACCCATTTTTAGACATCAGTTAACATTCCTGTTGCTGCAAAGGGTTCTCAGTCATAATAAGAAACCTTCCTGGCCTCCAACATAATTTCTCTGAGACCTCTAACCTGAAGATAACAGAAAGATTTCTACATGTTAGACAGAACCAAATCTGTAGCATGAGTAAAAACTTGGATCAACAGTTATATAACCAATACCTTTGCGCAATCTAGACTTTGGAAAATAAGTCAAGCATGATAGCGCTGGAGAAATTTACAGAAAAGAAAATCATTAAGCAGGACAAGAGTTGAAAGCAAGAACTAAATGCACTTTATAATAGCTGAAGATCAGTCATTTCCAAATTTCCTGTCTCTTGATGCACAAAGGTAAAATATGGTTTTTAAGATATTCATCTTTGATTTGATGCTGTCTTTAGAAGTAAGATCTTGGCTGATTTCTATGTTCTCACTTGATGCAAGGCAAAGGTCTTTGGAACTTCATGTAAAATTTTACAGCTCACATAAATGCAAAGCAATCTAAAGCTAATAGTACTTTCACTCTTTTTGAAAGTACCTGCCAAAGTTGGTAGCTGTGACTGAAAAAGGCAACAAACTCAGGTATATACTGTAAAGCTGAATGAAATGAAAAAAAAAGTCTCATTGCCACCAAGCCTTTAACAATTTGAGGATTTTTTTAAGTTTCATTTCTCAACATACAACATCATAAACCAATGAGAGCAATGGAGTTTCTGGAATTTACACTGAAATATATCTTCTATTCATTCTGTACAAACTGCTTCTGATGCAAATAACTAGGATTCCTTATGTTGAAATAGCCTCCTATACAAGCACAATGAAATTAGATGCAAAAAACTCCTTACCAACAACATTAAATTAATTTTGTATGGTCATTCTTGATATATACTCTATAAAATACAGAAAAAAATAGAAATTTTAGATTCATTTATAACTTAACAGTTATAAACCATGGGCCACATATGTAAACAGGCTGCCCCTCTTGATGGATAAATGACAGGAGGTATGTCAATATAGCAATAAACCATTAATACAGAACACATAAGCTTTATACACAGAGACTGGACAGGATGGCAGAGGGGAACAAAGGCTAGACTGTCTTCAGTCCAGAGAAATGCATCACTTACTGCTTACTATATACTCTGGTATGAGGCTCTGACACTGAACTCATTGCTTATCTTAAGAATTCTTCTGACAGTATCTTCCAACTATGAAAGACACATTTTTGAAGGGAGGAAATTATAAACCAACATCTTTTCCACTGCTCTGAGAGAAGAGGCTTTGGAATACACCAGGAATCCCTTATCGGCATCCCTGTTCCCTTGCCTATTTCAAAATTCTCTGAATAATTTGGAACCTATTTTCCATCTCAGTCAAAATACAATCCAGCAGATGCCTCAACAGAAATTCTGAGATCACTATGCCTGGCGCTCTGCAGAATGACTTCTCTCTCTACAAAATGAATGCAAGACCTTATCAGTCTGCCAGGGTAGAACAACACCAGATGATATTCCCACCTGCACTCTCTTGCTCAGTGCTCCAGATGTTGAAGGGCATTACTGTAGCTGGATAATATTTGTTTTCAGTAGTGGGCTCAGTGCAAACTAAGCCTCTACACAAAGCCTTTCTCAACACACACAAAAAAAAAGATGATGCATTCATACTGTTTAATAAACTTTTGTTTTATTCAAGCTCTTTCAAAGTTAGGCCACGTAAGCTGCATATAAAATTCACCAGCTGCATTCCAGACTTTGATTTCCCCAGACACTGGGAGACAGGCACAAATGAATACAACTTTCCATATATACAGCTTGAATATTGTCCTTATCCACATTTGACATCCAGCCCCAAAACAGTTCCAAATAGTCTGTCTGTGGGGAAAAACAACTCTTCCCTATATTAATAAAAGATTAGCTCTCTCTCACTGTGAGCAATAGCACTCCTCCAAGACAGCTTCGTGCTAGAGGGAATCTTCATCTGTATCGATGTCACTGCTTGGTTTGTTCAACCTCTCAAATTCCTCTCCATCCTACAGGAACCAGAAGCAAAAGAGAACAATGTGACCAAAAGTCATCTTGTTATTAATAGCTGAAAAAAAAAGACTAAGGTTTATTTAAAAGTATCACTTAAAGCAAAATCCTGTAATCCCTGTAATTTAAATCTCTTACAAGTGTGTTATAAGGTTTAGGAAATACATACTCGTAAAAAACATTCCCTGAATCTTTAACACTTTTTAGTGACTCACTGCCTAAAACAGCTTGTAGCCCCTTCCTCCATACAATCATAAAATGGTTTGGGTTGGAAGGTACTGGAAGGATGCTAGAAGGTGTCCCTGGAGCCTTCTCTTCTCCAGGATGAACATCCCCAACTCTCTCAGCCTGTCTTAATAGGAGAGGTGCTCCAGCCCTCTGATCACCTTTCTCTGGACTCACTACAGCAGATCTAAATCCCCAGAGCTGGACACAGTACTACAGGTGGGGTCTCACAAGAGCAGAGGGGCAGAATCACCTACCTTGACCTGTTGGTCACACTGCTTTTGATGCAGCCCAAGATATAGCTGGCTTTGCATGCTCACATAATGCTATTCGTTTCTACAACAGCTGCTTAGGTGTAAGTGCTAAAATAGATGACACCTGGCACACCAAAAATATATGAATTTGTGTTATTTATTGTTCATTAAACAACAACCTAAAAAGGCACCATGTGGAATTTCTGGAAAGTTTAATGCTTGCTCTCGAAGTTTAATGTTTGCTGGAACGCAGTGGGGACAGCGCTCTCTGCTGGTTACAACGTGCATCCTCAGGCCGACGGGCACAAACGTGAACCCTTCCCATCAGGCGACTGCTCAGCTCAGCTGAACGACAGCTCTAGGAGCAAGCTGTCCCTGACACCATCTAGCTGACTAGATCACTGTTCAAATCAGAACAAAAACACTAGTAGGCCTAGAGGAAATATATAGCAAGAAAAAAACCCCAAACCATGTTAAAACTCTGTGTTTAAACATTGCCTTTTTGTCTTCAGCTATCTTTTACTGCTATGGCAGAAAGAACTCTAACATCAAAAATGTTAGCTTCCTCATCATGTGGCCTAAGCTAGACAGACTTACCAGTTCTACTTAGGTACAATTAATACCCAGGCATCAATTCCAGTTTCTCAATTGGGTAAGTAAACTCTCTTGGTTATAAAGCTTTCAAGAAAAGATTTGTACAAAGCTGAAGTTGCTCACAGGACTGTCTACAGTCGCAGCAGGAAAACAATGCTTACCTAGGCTTCATGATTTCAAAAAGTGGCAAATGGAAAGCAATACCCAAGACTTTAAGAAATACTGCAGAACTTTGGTGTTGAGGGATGAGTCCCGTCGCACACAAGTTGATTCTTCCAAACATATAGCGTAAAGGGAGGTGAAACAAAAGAGAAACCAAAGGAGACAAGTACTGAAAAGCCTTACCCCACTTGATCTTTCCCATGCATCTCCTTTGATGAGTTTTCCCCTTTCCCTCAGACTGGCATATTCCAAGCCTCTTGCTTTACTGGCATTATAAATGAATATGGAGAGAAGGACTACAGGAGCTTCCAAAAAGAACTCTAGAGAAGGTCTGAAGTCAAAGATGACAAAAGACACAGTGGTGATGATGACAGTGTTGATCTGAGCAGTCATAACATGGAACATGTTGTCTCGGAACTTCAAGATGAAGGCTACAGACAGCCCCAGGAAAGCTGTGACAAATATAAGAGCCACGGAGAAGATGTTGTGCCCATAAAAGAAGCCACAGTTCCCTATCTGCCTCCGGTCCTTAGCCTGCAGTGCCAGCATGAGCCCATTGAACAGCACTCCAAAGGCATAGAGTTTGCTGTTCTGTGTGAAGATGCTTTCCCCAAGCTGATCCACATCTTTCAGCATCTTTTCATTGTAGATGTTAGCCAGGGCAGACACAAAACACTGAACTAGAATAAGCAGATGGCCCAGGCTGAGGCGGAGAGGCTTCAGTGCTCCCGCCATGGTACTGGTCACATTCCACTGGAAGCTGTGAAGGAAACTTGGTGCTGCACAGTTGCCCCTTTCCGCACATGCTTCCTCAGGTCCAGTAGCAAGAAGGCAGTGGTTAGATGGCCTAAAAAACATACTGTGATGAAATCCATGTGCAGCCAAGCTGTGCTGATGGCCTCCAGTTCCTCGAGTCAGGGCAACGATGGACAGGAATAAAATCACCAGAGACGCCCACTGTACCCAAGAGAGTCTTCGCCTGGTACACAAAAAAGCCACTAAATTTAGAAACACAGTGGCATAAATTAAATGACAGAACACCCAGATCTATAAAACATACAAAAGACATAATGCCACAGATAAGGAGACATACAGGTGTAAAGAAAAGTCTCTTCAGAATACAATAAAATGCAAAAATACAACATGATTTACTAAGGCAAAGGGGGCCAAGTCTGGCAAACAAAGAAGTATAAAATAAAGTATTCTGAAGAAATAAGGAAGGACTTTCAAGATCACATTATTTCTAGATACTGACTACCTAAAAACTTAAAAGCAACTCTTGTCTCCATGGCAACAAAGGTTGGATGAATAAAGTAAAAAACATCACAGACATCCAAATAATTACCAACTTTCTTTGGAAAACGTCATTATTATACTGCTCTTTTCCCCTGTGACTTGGAGTCCTTTTCTACTATTATATGATGGTAACTCTTATAAATCTACAAATGTAATTCCTAAGACTATTAGAAGTATTTATGCTGTTTTTCCACTCAAACAAAGCCTGTTTATCTTGGTGAAAATCAAAAATTTGGAAGATTAAGTGAACTGTGACATCACAAGAGACAAAACTAAAATGAGAAAAAGCATTTAGAATCAGACTATCAGGCACTGTTTTGGCATATTAACACATATGGAAAAAGCTTATTTGTGCCATATTCAACACAAGCAACTTTTACAGTGAAAAGTTAATACCCATTTCCCTGATAGTCTTTTTTAATCTAAATAATACTATAAAGAGCACAAATTCTGCAAAGTGGAACACTTAGTCTGGCTTTTGTCACATGAGTAATGAACCAAACACATCTCTATCTTTCACTCTTATGCATCTCATTTCCTCTTACTAGACCACATTTACACTCAATTAAGAACTGCAACAGACTGGTAAGTACTGGCAATCATGAAATAAGATATTTAATGCATAAATGAAAGCTTTCTTCTTACCATTCAATGACTATACAATCATGATTTCAACTGTTTCCTACTAGAGTTGACCAAACGTGTAGATATATGAAGGGACTCCTAATAACATATTATTTCCTACACCTTCAGATGTAGAAAAAAAAAAAAACACCTCTCCAAGTTGGTACAGCCGCAAGAAAAGAGAATTATTGTTCCCGTCAGACAAAGAGAAAAAATGTAGCTTAACTTCATCCAAGCTGGGAAGATTTAAATTCCATTTACTGTAGCAAATACTACTTACTTTAGCACTATCCTGAAGAGAAGAGCTGTTGTTATAATGACAAAATTTGAGAAGAGTACAGCCATTGCCTTGAAAGAGAAGGAGAGGAATAAAGTTATACTTCAGACACACTGTGGACACAAAAACCTACAGACTTCAAGTGTTCACCTTCCTGCAACGTGCCAGAGTGAAAAGCACTGGTACTGAATTTTCTTCCTCACCCAAGTGGTACAATAACACACCTGTAAAATGATAGTCAAGTCCCATTTCAAATTCCCAGGGAAACCATAGAGCCCAAGCTCCACTGCAGTGGGGAAAGCTATACTGAAATGAAGATGTGAGGAAACCAGTGCAAGAGAAAACTTACTTAGCAGAGAACAGTTTAGTTTTCGGTCAGATCAGTTCCCCAGCTGGGCTGACCAGCGAGCTGCAAAAACAGCTGTGTTGGCACAAAGGAGGAAGTTGCTCCAAAATGAGAATAAGTAAAGAATAAAGCAAGAGGAGGTTGCTCCTGGCTGCAGTGCCATTTGCAGTGTTCATGAAATTCCAGACTTGGACAAGCCACTTGCAGAAAACAAACTTCTTCTATGTCAACTGCTTTTGCTGCAGAGTTTAATCAAAGATAAAGAGGTGCTTGGCTTGAATTTTTAAGACTGCAACTGTAATTTTAAGAAAATAATCTATTTTGAAGTACAACTGAAGACAACTGTAAAGCTTCTGTTTAATTTCAGAATAACTGTATAATACCATCAGTGCTCTAATCCATGGCCATGATCCCAAACTGCAAACTTCTTGTGGCAAGGATTGTCTGTTTTGTCTCTGTATTAGACACTCTATACTAGGAGACCAGACCAAGAGAAGGCTCTTTTAAGCACTCCAGTTATCAATAAAGACCAGAATCCACCAGCACCAGTAGGAATAAAAAATCCTCTTTATGAGGGTGGGGGGTGTTTTGCAAACTTCATCTTTCCCATGCATCTCCTTTGATGAGTTTTCCCCTTTCCTGCAGAGTGGCATATTCCATGTCTCTTGTTTTAGTGTCTGTTATTCCAGACTGCCCTGCATAGTCAATAAATGTACAACAGATCCAGGCAGCTGAAGTTTTTGGTCCCATTGAGCCTCAGCTTTTTAGACAATTTTACACATAAGCATATTTAGATTCAGGAGTACAAAACACAGACTTTTTCTTGAATTTTCTCATCATTTCCACATTCCCAATTCTGCTATAGAGTGTCTTTTTCCTTCACCAGAGCAAAAGCACAGACTCTTTTCTCATTATCTTCACTCCACTTTATCCCAACATACCATCTGCTGAACAATAATTCTGATGAAACAGCACAACACAGGCTCACAAGTAAGCTGAACACTTACTAACAATTAGACACCTCCCTAAGAAAACACATCTTAATTTTCCTCTTTGCAAAATTAAAACTCAGTAAATATTCATGTTAGGTGAACACTGTGGAAGGAGAAAAATATTGAATAAACAAGGAAATTTGGCAGAAATCACTCTGGAAAAAAAGAGCCTTTATGCAAAATGTAGACGTAGTTCATGCACACTCTGGTTTTGCTTTACAGTCAATGCTCCCCATCCAACATCTCTGGTAACATTATGAGCAAAATATTTCAAAGGATAGTTTAAAAAATTAATTTTGACTCACTTTCTTCTCTGAAACCTCAAGAGATCTCTGTTCTAGACGAAAAGGAATATGAATACCAAGTTCCCCACGAAACTAATCTGCACGTCACGAGTAAAGCCTCAAAAGGTAAGTCTCTAGGAAATTTAGCCACTAAAAAGTATCCACAGTTATAGCTGAAGTTTCAAGCAAAAAAATCTCACCAAAGCAACCCTAATTCCAGCAGCTGCTCACCCAGGTACTACTTAGTCCCAAAACTACATTGTATTTAAAGTCACATGACCAAGTTCAGTCGGGTATGGCCATCTTCCTTTTAAGCATCTTCATATTTCACATTCATGGTCTTGTACATTATCAAGATATTCTATCTTAGAGATATTTAGTTATCTCTTTTAATACTTCTTTATCATAATAATGTTACAGTTTCAGCTAACCATCATAGAATTTCTCTAATTAAAAGACGCTAAAAGTTCTAAAAAGAGGAATCTTAGAGCACATGTTCTGAGGGGACAAAGACAAGGTATGCCTGGGTGTGCATGTATGTAAAACAAAAGCTGTCCATTTCCCAAGGATTACCTAAACTGAACCAAATTAAATTGCTTAAGAGAAAAATAGCATTTATGTAACCTCCTATGCATCAGGCGTTTCTTCTACAAATATTATCGCTGAATTTCCTTCCTAAAACTAAAAACCAAAACAAACCAAAATGACCCACAATTAAACAAAACCCCAAAAAAACAAAACAAAAACACCCAAAAAAAAAAAACCAAACTCAACCCCTACCAATCAAAAATCACCCCAACCACTACCAACAAAAAAATCCCATCAATAAAAAAAACATACAAAAAACCGCAGAACCAAGCAGCTGTGCGTGTTATTTTAAGATATCTGACTCTTGATTTTGCTAGGTTTTTACAGCTGAGTCCAGGTCTAGACTCTGGTCTGGTCTGTCCCTAGCAGAAATATACACCTAAGAGAACACTATTTTAAAGAGAAATTCTGATAGAGAAGGTAGAAAACCATTTATTTTAATGTTCAATAGGGGCAGCCACAGTACTTTATAGCAAGCACAAACCATCTGTTTCCATCTTACTGCAAACATAGATTCTGAACCAAAAAGTATCATGATACAAAAATAAGAGCAAGCACAAAACCTGTACAATTTCCTGAGCATATGCAGGTTCATCCAAAAGGAGGAGGTTAGCTAGAAGAAAGTACCAACTAAATTTTATACCTAAACATAGCTAACAAACAAGTGCAAAGATTGAGTCCATTTTCTTCATCCCCTCCTCAGTTTCTGTTACACCTATTCCCTTCGTGAGATTATATTTATTCACTTTATGTCACATACACAGAGCGGCAAAAGCCCCACAGAAATGTGCAGCTCAAACAATAGCAAGAGAAACAAATTGATTGAAAGAGAAATACAGAGTTGAAGAAGGCAAAGGAAGAAAAGTACCAAAAACCCTCCCACTTCTTAAGCACTTCACCCTATATCTGAATCACATTGGATGGAGAAAATATAAAGAGTTGTCCGTGCTGAAAGCTGTACAACCCTGACCAGTGGGAAAGAGAATGGGAAGGTAACAGATTATTCTTTCTGTGTTAAAACAGCAGAGAGCTCAGTTACAATCTTGCCTTGCCAGCGTTACCACAGTAGATAGCCTAAGACCAGTATTACCCACTAAGACATGAGAAGTCATGTTATTCAGGGCAAGTATACTTACTGGCTGGAGGTAGGACAGTACATAGAAGACAATCAAGTTATCCAAAAAGTAAAGAAAGGCAGGAATTGACCATTTAATGGAATTGCATACATTCTTCCAGGAAAAACATTCAGAGAGATGATCCATACAACCCTTTTCTGAAAGGAAAAGAAATCAGTAAGAAAGATATTCTTTCCTATTATTGAAAGCCTGTTCCCTTGTAACAGAACAGGTACCACTGTCCTCTTTTGAGGAACACCATTAAACTGAAAACCCTCGGGTTCCTCAGTTCTCTGGCAACACAGGAACCTACGTTCCAGGGCAGAACACCGCTGGAGCAGCAACCCTGTGTGGTGCTCACTTCCTTGCTTCAGCAAAGAAAATGTCACAGCATCTGTTACATCCATCACAGTGTTTGTCCACTCTGAGCAAAAATTCCATTGTCAACCATTCTTTTAGGGCCAAAAAGCACCCCAGAGTCCCTACACAACAGTGACATCCTTACTGGGTGTGACTTACTGTTGATTACTGATCAAATCTACAACAGGAACAACAACATAGACAGTAGATTCCTTCATAGAGCACCCAAAGGTCAGCCAGTAAAGTCAGAAGTACAAAATAAACCAGGATTCAGTACTTGCAGACCACAGCACATGATAGGAAGAAAAGAAAAAAGAAAGGACAAAGCACAAAGAATGACATTTACTTAGGTATTCAGGACACAAACTTTAGGAGGAAGACTGTGATAAACTTTAGACTACTCCAGAGCTGCTCCCAAAAGTACTTTGTTAGCATAGATTTAAAACTACTGAATGATATCTAATCCTCTCCTGAAGCACCAACACATTGAGTTCAGCAAAACTAAGACATCTGGATTTTTAAAAAAAGAAAGAAAAATAAAGAAAACCAGAAAACATGCAGTCAAGAGTAGGCAATGATGGCAAACACTGATTGAATATATTTACTGTCTCAGGTAAGTCTGTACTAACTGGGGAAGGTGAAAATTTTATCAGCTTGCCAGAGCCATGACTGCTTCCTGGAGAAGTAGACAAAATCAACAGTTCAACTTAACATGAACGTCCTCAGTCAATTTAAATATTTGATCTGTACCATTTTGAAATGCTATTAAGTTAATCTCTCATAGTTTTTACATCAGGACAGAAAAGAAAGAAAAAGCAAAAATCACCTGCAATGCAAAACCTGGAGCAAGTGGAGAGTGCCATTTATTGTTAAAAAAAAAAGGGGTTTGTAGGACAGCAAATCTTAGAAAGTCAACACATTTTAGTTATTTAAAACATCGGTACTTACCTTTTTTCCTATTCCAGACTGCCAACACTACACATAGGACCAGTTTTACTACTTCAGAACACATGTTCACTGTTGTAGGAAGGTAATCATACTTGTTATCTGTGGGATCCAGCAAATCAGAAGTAAACAATCAGTTTCTGTCTCCTGCATTCATAATTTGAACAAGAATCTATTATAACCATTACAATCACAATTTTAGTCATAAAAGGCTTTGTCAGAACTTCAGTTATAAATGTTTCAAAGTTTATGGCATACAACTTCCTGAAAAGCCTCTTTTCTGAGTTGAAATCTTTCCTCATTTGGTCCCAGTTTACAGCAGAATTTTTTTGGAAGAACTTAAGAATATGGCTGTTTTAAAAACAAATTAAAATGGGAAGGCTTTCCCCAAAGACCAATACGGTGTTTTTTAACCCCCACAAAAAACAGCTTCAGGATGACATAATCTTCTTTTAGAACTGGCAATACCAGCCAGTTTTAGCACTTTATCCAGTAGAATACCACTTCTCTTCTAAGCCTGTTGCAAGGAAAACATTTCAATCAAATCATCTACCATCAAGAGTGCTTACACAACAATGTCATCTTTGAAGAGTTCCCTATAAAATAAAACACCTGCCTCATCTTTTAAAGGTGGATCATACACCTTGCAACCCAAGTTACACCTCTATGGTAGTCTACTGGCTGGACAGAAATTTTCCAGTGCAGAAACACATCCCTATAAATATAAGAGGATGTTTACGCAAAGAACTCTGCAGGTGGAGAAGTAGGTTTTTGGGGTATGTTTTAGCCCAAATATCAACGCTTTCTTATTCAAGGTACATTATGGGTATTGCCCAACTGTACCTTCATTGGCAGAATACTTCATCAGGAGGATTCGACTTGAACCCAATGCAATGAACACTCCTCCAAGCAGAAAGGTCTGGCTGGTTGTCTTGGAGCAAAGGGCAAGTCGACTACACCACTCCACCTTCATCCTGCTGCCTCACTGTCAGTGCCCTTTGGATGGCAGGATACAAAACCACTGTAAACAGTACTTCCAGAAACTGGTTACACGAGACAAAATAAGTGCATTTTACTGCTATGTGTTATTCAAAGATGCTTACATAATAGAACAAGCCATGATCTTGTTCTACAACTGTAGTTTTCTTAGTTTAAAAAAAAAAATTGAATCCAACCTAGGACTGAACACTGCTATGTCAATTAGACCATGGCACCAAGTTCCACATCCAGTCTTTCCTTAAAACAGGATGGTGACTCCATCACCTACAATTCTAATATATAATCATCCTTTCTGTGAATAACTTATTCCTGATGTCCAACCTAAACCTCCCATGGCACAAGTTAAGGCTGTGTCCTCTTGTCCTGTCGCTGGTTGCCTGGGAGAAGAGGCTGACCCCAGCTGGCTACACCCTCCTTTCAGGCAGACAGCGATAAGGTCACCCCTGAGAGAAGGATGCGTTACAAGGACCATCGAAGGGGGATAAACGATACACTGCGACGCTGAAGGTGGCACAAGGAGTCTGGTTCCTGAGAAGTCCGCAACTACGGCATACGGGCTAGCTAAAAGGATTAAATATTTCATGTGCTTATTTTTCTTTGATATTTTTTAAGTGCTCTTGCTCCTAATCCCAGCAAGAAGAAGCGCTACAGCAGCGGAGCGAGACCAACCCCTCAGGGCTGACCTGGCGCCGGCTCGTTCCCAGCGGCGGGGGAGGCACAGGGCAACTGCAGGGCAACTGGAGCCGAGCACCAGAGCCGCGTCCTCCGCCTCCAACACCGCCGTTACTCGCTCGACCCATTAACGGGCCCCGGGGCCCCAACAGCCGGCCGAGGGAGGTGCGGGGAGGGAGAGCCTCTCTGGACCAGCTGCGAGCTGGGCTCCGTCCCATGCCGGCAGGGCGGCCGGAGCGCGGCTAACGGGACCCGGGGGACACCCACCTCGCCACCTCCTCCGCAGCGGAGGAGGAACAGCCGCCGGGCTTTGCCGACCGCCTCCTGCCACGTCGCTGCTTCAGGCTGCAGCCGCGAGCGGCGGGGCGGCGGCCGCGCGAGGCGAGCGGGACTCCGAGACAGCAGAGCCCGGTGCATGGACACCGCGGCCAGGCGCACCCCGGCGCACCGGGTCCCAGGAGGCTGCGGCAGCACGGTCCCCCTCACTCATCCCCGCCGCCCAAGGCCGGGCTCCCCCCGGGGTCCCGCACGAAGCCCCTTCAACACCCCCTCGCTCCCGACTCACCCCCCCACCCTCCGGCCTCACCTGGCGGGGCGGGGCCGCTCGCGCGCGCCCCCCACCTTGCCCCGCCCCGCGCGGACACGCGCTCCCCCTCTTCCCCCGCTTCAGCACCGCCGGTTCGGCCCCGCCCCCACGGCTTCCAGGAACCCGCGAGCTCCGCCCCCCGGCTCGCGCACGCCCCCCGGCTCGCGCACGCCCCCCGGCGGCTGCGTAGGCCGCGGCCCGGCCCCGCCCCGCCTTCCCGCCCTGCGCGCGCGCACTGTGCGTCGTCACGCGCGTGCGACGGGGGGCGGGGGGAACGTAAGGGGCAGGTCACGTGGGCGGCGGTCGCGAGAGCGCCGTTCCGAGGGCGGGGGGGCTGTTCATCTGTCCGCCCGTCCGTCCGACCGACCGCTGCAATGCAGAACGTCATCAACACGGTGAAGGGGAAGGCCCTGGAGGTGGCCGAGTACCTCACGCCCGTGCTCAAGGTGCCGTCCTGCGCGGGAGCCGGGATGGGGAGGAGGGACACCCATGGCTGCCCCCGCCTGCGGGCGCACTTCCCTGCATGAGCCCCGGGAGGCGGCTGTCGGTGCCCTTGTCGGCCGGGCCCGAGGAGCTGCGTTGCTGCGGGTTTGGAAGGGCGCAGTGCTGGGCGTGCCGGCACAGCCATCGGCCCTCATCCCGTGCTGGGATGGGGGGAACCCCGGCTGGCGCTCACATCCCACAGGGGGGGGAGCATCTACCTGGGAGGGGCGGGCGTCTCGAAGAACAAATGTTGCTGCTCCTGCTTCTCAAGGAATGACTTAAATATGTTGCCGTTTTCTGTAAAAGTCGCGAAAGTTTTACGTGGTTGTGTGTCCAGGAATTGAAACCCGAGCGTACAGACAAGGCTTGAGCCTGGTTTCAGGAATTGCGTTGCAATGCTTATTTTCGGTGAAGGGCAACTTTTTCAGCTGACATAAAAAACCCAAACTAAAACAACAAAATTAGCCACACTTTTGTTGTATGAGCAGGTTTTACATAGCCGGCTTATTCCTGTGTCAGATATACAGTATTAATATACAAGCCTCTGTCCACCAAAGTAGCTGAGAATAGCAGTAATGAGCCATTGGGTCATTATAAAAGTAGGCAGCGCATCTGTTATAGGTCCTGTCACTGCATATTTAGGTAGAAATAAATTATGGTTTTCTGCAGTTGTGAGACTACATCCTATTCTCTGACTCTTATTTGCAAACAATTTTTTATATAAACCCCAAATCTGTATACAAGTGCTTAACTTGGCAGCAGTTTTTTCTTTACTGATTTTGATGCTTCTGCATGCTCTTGAAAAAAACACTTGTTTATGACAACAGTCTCTCTGCCTGTAGCTTTGTGGTTTGACCTTTTATGTCAAACCACAGTAGTAACCCTGCAGCTTACTTCTCTGGGTAGATAGCAGGGACAGTCAATTATTAATTGAACATGTCCCTCTGTGGTGTTTGGGATACTCTTGTCTGGTCCTAGAGTTGCCCACTAATGTGAAATGTATGGGTTGCAGTGAAGTTGTGCCATGGGAAGATGAAGTGAGTTGTTCAGTAGTACAGTTGTTGCACAGCTGGTGTAATAGTGGATGAATTCTTGCGTCCAGATGGATTACTGGGAAGAGGCAGGAGTAGAAACTTCCAGAAATTGAAGGTGTTGATATCATGTGTATAAGTTCCCTTTACAAGGGGCAAATAAATACTCCAACTTGGTAATTTTTGAAAGAAACTAGACCTGTGTCTTTCACAATTGAAGAATTTACTTACACAGAAAAATGAGCTATTTACCCTCAGGGAACAGAGGATGGATATTTTACATGTTTTCTTTCTGTAATTCCAGAGACACGAGTTTGTGCGTGTTCCCTACTGCTTATGGTTCATTTTGAGGGGAACCAGTAAGTTGTCTCCACTATGGTGTTGCTCAATGTGTTATTGAGGATTCTGAGTTTTATAGCACTTGAAATCACTTTGATTTCAGTCACCTAGCATATACTAATGTTTGTAGAGCTGCTGTTTTCCTTATCTTTGTCTTGTTCTTAAGCATTTCTTCCTTAGAATTGAGGCAGAAAGGCAGTAATCAGTACATATGAAACAGGTGTGCTCCATTCATTTTCTGTAGCACAGGTGATAGCATACACTAGGAGAAGGAATGCGAATAACCAAGTTTAGCTGGGACTGCTTTTGTTCAATGTTTTCTGGCTGGTTGAATATGGTGAAGTTGTGGCTGGGAGCAAGACATGTTCAGTTGATGCTTTTAGTCTAGATAGGAGGAAAAAAAAATAGGCTCCTTAGGGCAAGAAGTCAGCTGTGCCATGGTTGAAATTGCATTCTCTGTCAAAAGTCGGTTTTGAATAGCTCTAATGCTGGGGAACAGTAGGATACCGTGGTACTTGAGGTTTTTCTGAAGAAACAAACTACCTGAAGTCAAAACATAATACACTTCATCTACATTTGAATATGACACAAGATGTGTTATCCTTAAGCTTCATAAATGTTGCCTTTAATGCTAAAGTACTTAATTTCTCTTATGCAGAATAAATCTGGTGTCTGCTCACCATCTATTCTTTCATCAACAGAACTCCCCACAACAATATGCAAAAACTGAAGCTGTTTCCATGGGGTGCACGATGAAAGCACAGAAAAGGGCATTAAAAGAGAGTATATTAGTAAATCTTTGTATTTAACTTTTTCTACCCCGGAGAAAAGTTGGTTTGGTCTTTCATTCATGACTTTACTTAACTGCAAAGCCTCATATTGATGCATTGCAATGCTATTCAATGCCTAGAACTCTGGAGTCCTTGATAGTCTGAATCACCAATTCCAACTGATTTTCTGTTTCTTACTGGCAAATGTACTACTGAGTGCCAGTCATCTTTTCTTCCTTGTTGCTATAATTGGCAGTAGCAAAAACAATTATTTTGTATAGGTGATAATTTTTCATAATACCTCATATTTTGCAATAAGTAATTCCTTATATTCTAAGTTTCCTGTCAGTTGTGGCAGAGGTTGCCTCCAGGCTGATTCTTGGATCACTGGACAGAACTAATTGCAAAGAACTAATTGCAAAATGAGAGTAGAGAAGGTGTTTGTCTTTCCAGTAAAGTGGATTATATTGATTTGTCAGTAGTTCTCAAAATTTCTAAACTTTTCTCTTGCAGGAGTCCAAGTTCAAAGAAACTGGAGTAATTACACCTGAAGAAGTAAGTAACTTAAATTTATTTTGAAAGTAACAATGCATTTTTTTAATGCAAAACGACCATGTTAAACAGATCATGTCTTTGCCAATTATTGCTTCTTGAAACAATTTCCATAAAGTGAAATTTCTAAGTAGCCTTTTTTACTCTACAGATTGAAGTAGACCAACATAATTTCTCCTGAGATGGCATTAGGCGTCTAAATGCGAGATGCTTCTTTCCTCTATTATACTGTGAAAAGATTGTAAAGAAGCTGGGTCAACAGCTCATGGGAGTTCAGGACTGAAGTGGGAATATATTGGTTTTTAAAATCTTTCTTCTGAGCAACTTGAAGGGGAGCTTTTATCTTTGGAACAGTCTTTGTTTACCTCTGTTTTTGTTCCTTCCAAGGCTCTATGAAGATCATTTCATATATTTCTCCACACTGTGTATCCAATGATTATTATTTTTCCCTCTTCTTCTCTATAGGCTGTTTTAGGCAGATTGTATTTTGAATTGCTGCCAAGCAGTTGTATTTTTTAAGAACTCTAATGCAAAGAGCGGCAAACAAGATTTTTTCCTGGAACAGTAAGAACACTGTGTTGAGCTATTTTAATTTCTCCCTTATGCTTTTTCTCATATTGAAGTGCTATTGATCTGCAAATACTTCATCTTTACAGAGTTCTAATAAAACAGTGTCAAGACTGTTAGGTAGAATGAAAAGAAAAATGAAACAAAAAAAAATTGTAAAGATGAGGTGGAAAAAAGTGGAACGAATGATGACTGATGCAGGTAGATAATGTGGACAGAAATATTTTTCCTAATATTGGTGCCTGTATTTTTCTGCTGTGTTGCCTTGCAAGCAAACACCAATTCTCTCCCTCTGACACAGAAGTACCACACAGAAAAACAGGCTTAGCAACATGGTGTTTTTGTTCTGATAACTGTATGTGTGTGTGTCTATAAATATTCATATATGTTAAACAATAATACATAGTCTTTATTGTATATAAGCTAGAATAACAGAGAAAGACTGGACAAATGTTCTACCAATACTTAATCCCTTTGTGTTTATGGGAGAAGAATGTGCAGTAGTATTTTAAGAAAAGGCACCTTCTATAGAACATAGCAAGAACCACACTGTATTACGTTAAACAGTTTTCAGGCTTTAAACACCACTAGGAATGTGAACAGTCCATGTGTCAAGTTAGATGCTGCTGGGATGAATAAATTGGATCCTTCAAAACAGTAGTCAAGGGAACCAGTTATATAGGAACATTAAACTTTTTGGTAAATTTAGATGAAGCTGGAGCATGGACCTGCTGATTGTCCCATTGACAGTCTTTATATAGGAATGGTTGCTAAAGAAGAATGACACTAGGATGTTGTCTTTGAATGAGTTTGGATTTCTTGGGTAATTTAAGCTGTATTTTAGTCTGAGACACTAACTGGTGTATAGATATTTTGTGGGGTTCCTGTCGCTTGCCTCTGAGGATGAATAAATTAAGGCTAAAGATGACTCATTAATCAAACTCAACACCTACTCCCTTTTTTCACTTATCTGTGCACTTGATTTATTTTCAAAAAATTCTTGCCTGTCATGAGTTCTTACTGGTTAATACCTCCAAAGGATGACATCTGTTTTAA